GTTCATTTTTTATAAAATTTTGAATTTTTTGGGAAATGCCTGTACACGCTTTAACTTTCGTAAATTTTGAAATATCTTCCTCTACGAGGAAGCCAAAATTAAAAAATCCGCTTGTTTTAAAGAGCTTAAGCTTTGTGAGCAAAATAAAATGATGAGGAAGCAATTTTCTAATTTGCACATTTTTCAGCTTGTTATATAAAGAAAAAAGTATATATACGGAAAACAAATGAATATAAATTGATAACTTAAATTTACAAAAATTAATTCATTTTACAATCTATATCACTGCTCTAACAATGTCTATGTTGTTTTATTTCACTCTAATTATTTTACTCTAATTAATTTAAACTTTTAAAATATTTATACAGAAAGTTAAAACACATAGATAAATATATTCAGCATATATTTAATAATGAAATAACGTTGATGATAAAAATGAAGGAAAAAAGGAAAAAACCTGATTTTTGTTCCATCTTTAAAAACTAAAAAGAGATCTCTCCTTTAATTTTTATTTCCTATTGTCTTATTGTTAATCGTATAAAGAATAGTTAATTCATATTCTTCAATAAAGTGATATGGAAGTAAATGAATCTATGTCATAAAGCAATTTAAAAATCAAAAAACAAGATACAAAGATTGCATTCTTCATAAGGAAGTTCCATCGATCCTTAATAAACGATAGTACATATTAGAGATATGCGATTTGAGAAACGCGCAGTCGCGATTCTCGATGATTGTAAGCGGGGGCGAGAAACGATCGGTGAAAGTGAGACGGGAGACCACATATTGAGAATGGTATGGGTCAAAATGCCGCATGTACAAAACTCTTCAACGAGAGATGTAATTTTCCAAATTTAACCAGTTTACAAAATTATTAAATTTTATGTAAATAGTGATTACAAATCCCAAATATAATAGATATGCTCGCGTTATCTTTTTATAGACACATTGTTTACAAACTAAAATGTCTGTGTGTATACAATTCTTAATATTAATTTTTAATTTAAAACATTTTTTTGAGATTTTATGCATGATGATCAAGAGTTGTCAAATGTGAAGTAATGACACAAGTCAGTAAAAATAATAAAATAAATAATATATTACATGAAATTAAGAGAAAAATTATATATATTTTTTCAAAGGGATATAATTTGACACAATTGTTATTTTGACACAAATAACAATTTGTATATTTGTATATATAATTTTTGTTCTTGTGGATTATAGAAAAGAACATTCTAATAAAGGTATATTTAATGAAAAACTATATGACTTATATAGTTGTTTTATTTTATACTTTTAATTACACTTTGATATTCAACGAATCGATTCATATACAGAAAAAAAGTTGTTTATTAGATTTATTGATTATTTATCATTAAAAACAAAAAACATCTTTTAAAAATAGAATTTTTTTTTAAATTATATGAATCACTTAATGAAAAAATACTTTATTATAGTGTTTTGAAAAGCTCTCGAGATAAGCTACAAGAATGTGCAATAAAAAATGGGAGGTTCTATTTAAAATTTTAAAGTTACCTCCCGCCTCCTTTAGAGGGGGAGCGGGGGCAATTTTATGTTTACGTAGTTAGAAAGGCCCCTCGAAAACATGAAACTTTCCCATGAACAATTTTTTGATTTGACAAATATTTTTAGAGTTATTAGCTTGTAACGTTGTTTACGTGGGCCACCCTGTATATGTATTCTGCTATTATTATATTTTATATTTTAATGTGAAAATCATAGAATCCGGATAAAATTTTTATGCAAGCGTGTGTTCACTAGCGAGATTGATTCACGCAGTTTCATCATTTACACAGTTTTGGAAAGTAGTGTTAGTTATTTTTATGCTCATTGAACTTGCTAATTATTTTTTAGCGCGGGTTCCAATAACTGTACAGATGTCGAATAAATATAAGGAAACGTCGGGACACACAAAATGAGATGAGACGAGCAGTGAAGCGCAGATAACGGTAATGCGCGACGCGCTCGTTTCATCTGTCCTAATATATCTTATATCCGATATAGTCAATCCGGCCCCAAAGAGAGGAGAAACTCGGGTATAACGAGCGCGTGTGTCCTACGATTTACATATATGGCGCAAAGTGCATCATCATGTGCAACGCGGCTGGCAAGTGTGCAAGGTGCAATCGGCTTTCGAGGCATCTCTTACGTACACATGCCACAGGTTGATATCACCTGAAGAGGAAGGAAGCTAAAAGAAAGAGAGGGAGAGAGTGAGAAACGAGAGGAGAAGAAAAAGACTATGGCTGTATGTCAGGGGGCCAAGCTAACGGTCCAGTCAGGCTCTTAAGACTCTCTTGTAACCCATTGCAGTGCGATTCGTCTGCTTCTCTTTCCTCTCTCCTCTTTCGGTCCTTTCCGCCTTGTTGCATGCATCGCGTCGGATCATGATATTAACCCGGAAAACTGAATTGCGCTGAAACATTTATGATAAAAATTTATATTATACTTTTGAAAAAATATTTAGAAGAAGCGTTACATAATTTTTGATTCAGAAGAAAATTATAATAACGTGTTTTGTTTTTCTCTATAAACGTAATGGCCATTTATCTGACAGATTGTTTCATAAATAATTAAAATAGTATTTTTACCGTTAAACAAAGCATTGGAACATGATTATAATTGTAAATGTTCGAAGATATAACAGTATTTTTTATTAATGTCATCAAATATCTCGTTATTTTATATTGATTTAGTGATTGTCCGTCTGGAACATTTTGCAAAATTTAGTTATGCGATTGTACTTTTTATTTGAAGTTTAATATATATTTAACTATGTTGTCTTTGGTGAAAATGAATTGGTCTATGAATTGGTAAAAACCAATTTGTTCAGATCGTGCTTTATATAACGCAGAGCTCGAAAAACATAGAATGTCCTTCCATTTGGAGAAGCAGTTATCATAAAAGTATCCTGTGTTAAGGATTAATTATTTTTATAATGTTACAGATGCGGAAATTACGGGAAAATGAAAAAAACCGACCAATACCATCGGCATCTTACATAAAAAAAAAGATTCTCACAGATGATGGCCATACGGTATGTGATTGCTGCCTTCTCACATACACATTTTTACAAGTATAGTTTCTTCGATCCACGCACTTATGCAAAATTTATTATTTGCAGCGTCCGTTATTTCTGTAACAAAGTATAATTTATTTTAATATTTTAAATATTGTTTTTTAACTATTATTTACTATTATTATAATAATGATATATATAATGACATAAACCATAGTTGAGATGTGATGTATTATTTAAGGTGGAGTCATATGTCCGCGCAGTAAAATCTGACAAAGCCATAAATGAAATCGAAGTCGAGCATCTCCGTGAACTTGCGCTTGAACAGCAGGAAGTCATCGAAATACTTAAACAGACAATTAAGGTAATGGATTTTTCTTGAGAAAGTCGACATATATATAAACAAATTGAAAATTTGAAAAATATTGTTTTTGATTTGTACGAAATAAGATTTTGGAAAAAAAGAGTTACATTGTACTGACATAATGAGTATCAAAACCATAGTATGTTTTTTTAACGTAGATTTTTTAAATCTAAAATTTGTAAATTGTTTGAATTAGAATTTTAAAAAATACGTATATACAATATACATATATATAGGGGAAAGTAGGATAAAACCGGGTACTTTTTTGGATGTCTTCCTATAAAAAATCAAAGAATAAAAAAAATTTTGCTGACCGTTGGTTGTCTTTAGTGGATCTTAAACTGCTGTTGCTAAAAAAAATATTTGATTACCAAGGATAACAAGATTTTTTGGGATTTTTTGGAGAAGTCGTTTTGCCGTACCGGTAGAGTAAAATCGGGTACCCATTTGAAAACATATAAAACACCGTGTAATTACAAAATCTAGATTTGTTTTAATCAAAATACAATACAAAGATGTACTCTATTGACAAAAATCACAAATAAAGATATCTTCTTGTTCTACATTGCTGCATGACTTTCTTATTTAATTTTTTAACTTTAAGAGTCTCCAAAAACTTTTTTTTAATAGTTTCCTTTTCTGACAAGTAGTAGTTTTCGTTTCCAACTGCTTTTTGTAGAGAGACAAAGTCAGGATAACAGTTTTTCTTCTTTTCATTACATGAGGTGTGTAGGTATCCGGTTTTGCCCCAACAAGGAAAATAACAAATAACAAAAACGGCGGCTATATATTCCGGTGTACAAAATGACGATCAAAACTAGTGCGATATATTCTCTAATATGTACAGAATGAAATGCTGCATTTACCGAAGCAGATGCTCTGTGTAAAAAAAAAATCCATAACGACTCGTTTGTTGCCCCGATATCGATATTTTTTGGCCCGAAAATTTTGAACTTCTCTCAAAAAAGAAATATCGTGTGTACGTGGGCACGGTTCATCTTAAAATAGTGTTGGCATAAATCTACAATTGATAACATGAATTAGCCAAAGATAATAGCACTTATCACGAAGAAACAGAGGTACCCGGTTTGACCCGCCTACCCGATTTTACTCTATTTTCCCCTATATATATGATATATCTAATTTAAGTAGATATGCGGGATTGTTTCGTAAGCAATGAAGAATACGAAAAAATTGTTTATACAATTAAATTTGCGATTTATCCCGCCAAATAAAATAATTAACTAATATTTATTTAATTGAATAATGCCAGGCATCTCGATCAAAATGATATTTGGGAAATATAAAAAGAAATATTTTTTTCTGTTAAGGAAAGAGAAAGAAAGTTGGAGCAATTATTAAACAAGAAAAAGAAGGAGGAATTTTATAAACAATGGCTTGAATTGGAGCCAGTTGCCGAAGTTGATGACGAAGAAGATCACGAAGATGATCATGACAGCGCTTTGTCGAGTGCCCCGTCTTCGATGTCACCACAGCCTGGAGGCTATGGTCAATGGCAAAATAATGGTATTACTAAAGAAGCATACGAGGCCATCCTTGTCGAGATCGAGGAGTTACAGTCAAAGTTTCTTAGAGAGCAACGAGAACTTTCGTCTGCCAAGATTCAAATTTGTGACTTGGAAAAAGCGCTCTTACAAGAGGTACAAATTGTTTACATACACAATATATTTTTTTATCAATTATTTGCTTTTAATATCACATAATACATGATTAATTATTATCCAAGAATGTTGGATATTTTCTCTTCGGTAATAGCAAAAGTTGATAGTCTTATACAATTAGTGTTATTTCTGCGTTTTGTTCAATTTGTATCATTGTGATGACTTAATGTAGAGGACTTGAATCAATTTTGTTTTAGCAATCAATTAAGAAAAAAGAAAAGGAAAAATATTATTTAAAATAAAATTAATTTAGGAAAGGCTCCGATTGGCAGACCACGGAGGTGTAAATGCCAATTGTGGAGGGACATTCTGCAGAGAATTATATTTAGATATTTGACCGCGACTTATTATTGTCTGACCGATTTATTATTATCTGATCGATATTGACAACATTGTATTTATTTTGAATTTTTTCCGTATCGTGTTGATGAAGGTCCAAAAAGGGATCAAAACATCCGCTTCCGTTTTTAATTAATTCTAATTCTAATTCTATAAAATTTAAATGTGTTCCATCGCATGGTTTTAATCAATTAATTGTGCATTAATTTATTTACGCCTGACTTACGGCGCCGGCTCCTATTGCCATTATATTTTTATTAAAAATATTATTTATTATACAAGTTATATGCATGAATATATTTAGGATTAAGATATATCATAAACCGATTCATTTTTATGTTTAGATTAGCAAATTATATTTTGTTATCACGAAAATAAATTATATTTATATATATTTTTTCAGTTGATTTGGATATTATATTATACGTATCAATATAAATAATAAGTGCTTTTTACTAATGTTGGAGCTATCAATTTAAATTAATTTGAATTAACTATCACGCTGAAATCATATAAATATAAATCATTCATCAAAGATTTTTTTTGGTACATCTATTAATCTAAAGAATTTTATATATATAAATACTTGGCATATCTGTATGTGCACTTGAAAGTTTCTTGTAAAAAACATTTGTATATGTTTTTTTGTCTTGGCAGAGATGTGTTGATCGTGATAAGGAGGTAAGCGAATTGAATGATAAACTTCGAGCTGCCGAAGAACGAGAAGCAACACTTTTAGTGGAGCTTTCAGAAATACGAGAGCAAAATGAGCTCTTGGAATTTCGACTGCTCGAACTAGAAGAAACAACTGTGCGTAGAGACAGTCTCGATCATGTGATGGACAGCGGCATCGTCTCGCCGGAACCCATTCACGCAAACAAGGTGAGTTTGAGCAAAAATTTGTTTCGAGTATTACATCGAGTTATCCGAGTTTTCTTTAAATTAATTAATATAAATTATATAATAATGGGCATATAAAAGAGATATTAGTTGCTTATTGTAAAATTATTGTTAAATGATAATTGATTATTGTGCATGTACTCTTTTTTTATTTTTTGCAATGATATTTCAGGCTCATCTAACAAACCAACAGAGAAGCCGCGCTGTTGCGACTGTGATACCTTACACAAATAACGCTACATTGATAAGCCCCGTGAAATCCGCGTCACCCGTGTTACCGCGCAAGCCTCCGCTCACTCTTCAGGAGAGCGGTATTTTTGAGGAAGAGGAACACATACACGAGGACGAAGAGAGTTTACTCGAAGTTGAGCTTACCAATCGTAGCACTCAGACGGATGTGCCGTCCGGTGAACTTCTTCAGGAAGTGCAGCGTCTCCAGGAGTTGAGAGCTCGAATTCAGGAACGTGCGGCTAAGATTACAACATCGATCTTTCATCCGATTGATTCATCTAAAATCTATTTCGATGTATCAACGATGGATTCAATAGTTCAGCTGACCTCCTACCAAGAGCGCGTTCGCGATCTTGAGGAGAGACTTGAGATTTGCGAGGAAACGGAAAAGGATCGAGAAAGAGAGAAGCAGCTGTCGAAACAACGAGAAGAGGAGTTGCTGGATGAAAATTATAAACTTACTGAGAAGATATATTGGTTGGAGAACGAGCTGCGAAACATCTCGGGATTTAGTTTCGAAAAAGATGGACATCAAGATGGGACGCCTAATATGCAGCAAATAAAAAATATAGATTTTAATAAATATCAAGTTCTAAAAATTTCAGAGAATTTAGAAGATGTGCAAAATCGGCTAAAAGATACAAATTGCACGCGATCTACTCAAACCATGAAAACATGGGTGAATAGTATGATTGTGTCTCAATGTCAACATCAGGATAACGTGGAAAATTTCGATCAACAGATTGCCTTAGGAGCGCAATGCAATGTCACGGTATGTAATTTACATCAATTGTGTCCAATTAACTCTTTTCCGAATCTTTTAAAATTAATTTTTTTATTAAAATGACTTTCATGAGAATTTTCGATTCTATGTGCCAATTTGGTTAATTTAACACATTGCCGACTGCTCAGATAGATCTACTCGTTTCATGAAGCATCATTGAATGAAGAGCCTATGTTTTGCTTTTATATACCTATGTATATATATGTATATAAGGGAAAGTTGGGTAAAACCGGGTAGGCGGTCAAACCGGGTACCCCTATTTTTCGTAATAAGTGCTGCTATTTATGGCTAACTTGTGTTATTAGTTGTAGATTGGCGCCATCATTATTTTAAAACAAATCGTGCCCCTGTGCACACGAAATTTCTTTTTTAACAGAAGTTCAAAGTTTTTAGCCATATATATATATTATTATAGCAAAATTAGAGCGAAAAAATTAAATTGAAGAATTGTTACCGCGACGGGTAATCGTCCTTTTTGAGTTGAGCATTCGTCGTCTGATCCACCGCTCGTTTTCGATTAACTCTCTTTTTAAAAGAAAAGGATTTTTGCGCTGGTCAGTCTTGCGAGGACCAATTCAGATCCATCTGGTATCCAGACACCGGGCCGACCTCTGCGTGAGAACTATCAGAATCACGGACAAGTCGAAAATACTCCCGATTTATGACTCGTTTTTTCTTTTATTACTAATTACTACCATGTTTTGTATAATGAAGAGAAAGTCTTAAAATGGAAAATCTAAAAGAAAAGTTCCAAAATAAAAATTTTCGATTCTACATATATATATTATTAAAAAATTTTTTAAATTAATCAAGATAAGTTAAAAAATATGGCTTATATAGGGGAAAGTTGGGTAAAACCGGGTAGGCGGGTCAAACCGGGTACCCCTAACTTGTGTTATTAGTTGTAGATTGGCGCCAGCATTATTTTAAAACAAATCGTGCCCCTGTGCACACGAAATTTCTTTTTTAACAGAAGTTCAAAGTTTTTAGCCTAAAAAAGATCGATATCGAGGCAAGAATCGAATCGTTGTGCACTTTTTCTATATAGAGCATCTGTTTCGGTAAATACAGCATTGCATTCTGTACATATTAGAGAATATATCATATTAGTTTTAATCAGCACTTTATACGCCGGAATATACAACCGCCGTATTTGTCACTTTCCTCGTGTTGGGGCAAAACCTGGTATTTACATATCTCATGTAATGAAAAGAGGAAGAACTGTTATCCTGACTTTGTCTCCCTACAAAAAACAGTTGGAAACGAAAACTAACACTCAGAAAAAGAAACTATTAAAAAAAAGCTTTTTGAGACCCCTAAAGTTAAAAAGTTAAATAAGGAAGTTGTGCAGCAATGTCGAAAAAGAGGATATCTTTATTTGTGATTTTTGTCAATAGAATACATCTTTATATTGTATTTTGATTAAAATAAATCTAGATTTTGTAATTGCACAGTGTTTTACATGTTTTCAAATGGGTACCTGGTTTTACCCTACCGGTAGGACAAAACCGGGTACTTTTATTTCTTCACAAAATCTTGTTATTCTTGGTAACCAAAATTTTTTTGTTTTTTAGCAACTGGTCTTATTTTCTCATAGTTTAAGGTTCATTAAAGACTTTCCCATATATAGGGGAAAGTAGGGTAAAACCGTGTACTTTTTGGAATTGTCTTCCTACAAAAAACCTGAGAGTAAAAAGAATTTTGTTGACTGTTAGTAGTCTTTAGTGGATTTTAAACTATGAGAAAATGAGGCTAGTTGTTGAAAAAAAATATTTGGTTACTAAGGATAATAAAATTTTTTGGAAAAGTCAAAATACCCGGTTTTGCCCTACCGGTAGGGTAAAACCAGGTATCCATTTGAAAACATGTAAAACACTGTGCAATTACAAAATCTAGATTTATTTTAATCAAAATACAATACAAGAATGTATTCTATTGACAAAAATTACAAATAAAGATATCCTCTTGTTCTACATTGCTGCAGGACTTTCTTATCTAATTTCTTTTTAATGTTTTTTTTCTGAATGGTAGTTTTTGTTTTCAACTGCTTTTTGTATATATATATAGGGAAACAAAATCAGGATAACGATAAGATAAATTTTTCCTCTTTTCGTTACATGAGATGTGTAGGTACCTGGTTTTGCCCCAACACGAAGAAAATAAAAAACACGGCGGCTGTATATTCCGGCGTACAAAGTGATAATCAAAACTAATGCGATATATTCTCTAATATGTACAGAATGCAATGCTGCACTTATCGAAACAAATGCTCTATATAGAAAAAGTCCATAACCACTCGATTGTTGCCCTGATATTGATCTTCGGCCCAAAAATTTTGAACTTCTCTTAAAAAAGAAATATCGTGTGCACGTGGACACATCTCAAAATAATGATGGCATCAATCTACAACTAATAACACGAGTTAGCCAAAGATAGTAGCACTTATCACCAAAAAACAGAGTTACCCGGTTTGACCCTACTTTTCCCTATATATATATATATATA